TTTGTGAGCAGGCGGTACCATCTGGTGCCCTGACCGCGGCTGGGGGTCAGCGGGTTACCCTCCTGACCTCTTCTAATCCTCACGCCAACCCTGTGGGGAAGGGACCACTGTTCTGGTGCGTCCAGGCTGCTGTGATAAAATCCCTCAGACTGTTTATTTCTCACGGTTCTGGAGGCTGGAAGTGTGAGATCTGGGCGCCAGCATGGCAGGGGCAGCACCCTCTTCCACGTGCAGACTTCCCGTGGTGTCCTCACTAGGTGGAGGGGGCAAGGGAGCTCCCTGGGGTCTCTTTACGAGGGCACTACTCCCATTCATGGAGGCCCCACCCCCACGACCTAATCACCTCCCAGAGGCCCCACTTCCTAACCCATCACCAGGGCGGCCAGACTGAAGGATCTAAACACAGCCCCTGCCCGGGCCCTTTGGGACACACCCTGCTCATGGAACCTGAAGTGACATGATTGAGGCTTTCCAGGGCCTGTCCCTGCCTCAGTCCACAACCTCCACTTCCTGCCCACCCCTCCTTGTTACTGAATTATCTCCTACTTGCCCCGTCTTGGTCTGCCTCTTGTTGTCCTTGCTCTGGGAGACCCAGGCTGGCTCAGGAGCTGCTCCCAGGACCCCCAGAGCCCAGGGCTTCCTTCTGCCGCAGCCTCGATCCTGCAGGGGGCACATGTCCAGGTTCCGGCTTGCTCTCTGTCTCCGTCCTGTGAACTCCAAGGGGGAGGGGACAGAGGAGACTCATCCCGGCACATCCCAGACGTGCAGCGTCCTGGGGCCCAGGGTCTCTTCCCTGCCTCACTAAGGAATTGACTGGGACCCGCTGTGGCTGAAGTGAGCGTGAGACTGGGAAGCGCAGACAACACGGCCGACTCGAGCACTTTTCCACCTTCTGCAATTTTAAGGAAATCTGCTCCTTCTCTCTCTCTCTCTGCTCCACTCTACCTCCCCCCTCCCAGGAAGATAATTTCTACCAGGATTTTACAAAACTAAGTGCTCCAAAGCTGGCAAACAAGTCGGTCACAATGGGCAGACCTCGAGGTGTGGAGGGCACAATATTGCTCAGTTTTGACGGAGGACTGGCACTGGGTCTCTCTGAATTATTTCCTGATTTTCAAAGCAGTTCATGCTCTTACAGAAAATGTGGCAGTTACAGGAACAGAAAAAGAATCAGAAAATCCCCGAAACACTCACAGTTTACCACCCCCACGTGCCACCGCTGGGTCGGGCACCTTTCTCTCCAGGCACTGCTCAGAGTTGCAATCACAGTGCATTTTCAGTGGTTTTCACTAAATAATTCGCAATAGGCATTGTCTTCAGTGCACCTGCCTTCTAATGGCTGCGTGGTGCCGTGTTGTGGGGATACAATAACGTATTTGCCATCTTCCTGTTGTTGGGTGTTTAGTTCATTTCCCTTTCTTCTAGCCTTCCCGACTTCCCTTTTCTGCATGTGTGCGGGCAAACACTTTTGCTGACATTTCGGATTGTTCCTTTGGGGTGCCTGCCTGGAATGCAGATCACTGGGCTCTGGGGGGGCATCCTCATAGATCTGGATTCATTCCGTTTGCTGCTCCCCCAGATACCCCAGCGCCTCTGGTCTCAGATCTCAGCAGCCGGCTGCCCCCCGCCTCCCCGGGCTGTGGGTGGTGGTTTTGAGCCCTGTGGTCAATAGAAAACCATTTAATCTTCTTACCTCAAATCTTATTTCTGATGAAAAATTTAAACCCTCTGTAGGGTGCCATGCAGGGTTTAATCCCTTTATCTTCCAATCTTACAAAAAAAATTGTATTAAAATCTTAAATATTTTCAGCACGACTTTAAAAAAGTGCCCTAAAAAGTACGGGCGTGCCCCTCACTGGGCCATCTTGCTCAGTCTCGCCGAGATACACATCTCAGCGAGAAAGCTCCGCGGAGGCCCCCAAGGCTCCGCCCCTGCTCAGTAATATTGCATGGTGCCACACTGCCTAAGAAATTCCTCAAAGTCCACCAGAATCTGGTCTCAGCCACTCCTGCTGGCTCCTTTTGTCCTGCAATCACACTCACATATACACACACGCACACATGCACACTCACGCACACATGCACACTCACACACTCACACACACACACACACGTTTGGCCACATCTTGGATGACCCACAGGCCCACGCTCCGACTTCACCTCTGTCGTTGCCTCAGCCTGGACTGCCCTCTCTGCGCTTCCCTCCTCAGTCTTCCATGGTCTGTCCAGGAGAGTCCCGCTCCCCGGAGCCCCTGCTGAGACCTCTATTTCTGTCCTGTTGAGGCCTGGGCTTGAATGATAGTGCTTCCGCAACTTCATCAAAGCTAACTGCTCTGAATGGTTTTCTCATATGAACAATTGGAGCAGGAGTCTCCTAGGGCTGTGCTGAGATTTAAATAAAGTAAAATTAAATAAGCTTAATTATAAAATACACTTAACATTAGATAAAATTCAATAAGCTGAGTTAACACTGGTTCTTTCCCCTCTTCAGTCACTTTTTCCTCCCCAGTTGCACATAACAAGCTCTCAGAGCACGCTCGTGGAAATGAATTGGTTCACAAATGGCAGTGCTTCCACTCAGTGTAACTGACCTGGTTCACTTGTCTCGAAAAGCAAGAGCCAATAGTACTTCTCAAAGGCGCTCAGAATGGTTTTGTCCACATCTTCTCTCTGCTCATCACAGTGGGAGAACCCAGCCTTATTTAATCTCCACGGTCTATGTTTTGTCTGCCATGGTCCCTTACACGCAGTGGGCACCCGGAAGATCCTTGCGGGTGAACGGGTGGCTTGCCTTTATGTAGCACTGACTGGCTAAGCTGTCCCTCGCTTGTGTCTCAGCACGATGCTCTAGTCTCCCCTGAGCGATGTCCCTGGAATCCGGCTCCCCCTGGAGCCATGGAGAGGCGACGGGAGCTGCTGTACGTGGTTAGACAGAAGCCTCCCTATGGAGCCACCTGATGCCCCCACTGCAGAGCCTCAGATGGTCCCTGGGGAGCCTTGGAGGGACTTGGGGATCTCCTGCTACCATGCTGTCAAGGCCACCTCCATTGTCCCAGCTATCCCCCTGCACCCCTGCGGGTGCAGGGGGGGATACCAGGGGCTGCAGAGCTGCCTGCTCTTCCTGGAAAGTCAAGAAGGCCTTGACACTTCTGTTCTGGTTTCAGGCAAGGTCCGATCTTGGATGTGAAAGCAGATCAGCAGGAGGGCCGGGGAGAGAGGAAGCTGCTGCATTTGGCGGATGGAGGCTGCGCCTGGGGCCGTGGAGGGATGACGAGGACGTTGGGATGGAGCCGGAAGGACTGAGTTTGATTCCCAGCACGCTGATTTCTAGTTACATGGCCCTGGAAAAGACACTTGCCTCATCTGAGTCTTCCTTTCTTCAACCATAAAGTGGGAATCGCAACTGAGGCCGACATTTCTCTGAGTGCTCACTGTGGTGTGCCTGGCACTGTTCTAAGCCCTTTATGCATATTCGTGAGTTTAATCCTAACAGCAGCCACAGGAGGCAGGTGCTATTGCTGGCTATTAATATCCCCGTCATACAGATGAGCAGAGGAGGCCCAGGAGGTTGAGTGACTTGCCCAAGGCCACGTGGCTGGGGTGAGGTGGCCAGTGCAGGTTGTCCATCCTCATGCTTCCTCCAGCCACCTGCCCTCTCTCCAGTCCTTACAGCACTGGCACCAGGGAGACCCCCACAAGGGTGAGCCCCCTCCCCACCAGCCACACTTTGTTCTTCAGAAAGGGGTAGGCTGTCAGAGTCTCCTAGTGAGGGTGGGTGGGTGGGAGTGGGGAAAGGTGGGGTGAGGGTCTGCCTTCTGGCTCCATTCATGTCTGGTTGCCACTGCAGAGAAGATGCCAGAAAAGCTTCCTGGAGCCAGCAACTTCCAAATGCCTTCCCTGCTCCTTGTCCTGCCAACTGGCCACTGAAGGGATTGGAAGATTCCCACGGGGTGACTAGGTTCAGAAGCCAAGAGGGGTCAGCGGAGGTGGGGAGAGAGACAGACTCCCCTTCCCAAGGGCAGCAAGAGCCACCTGGAAGGGCAGAGCTCAGCTCCAAAGGTGTGTCCACACTGCAGCCCCGCTGGGAGCTGCTTCTCCCACCTTCTCCGGCTCTCCTTCCCTCTCCCTCTGCTTTCCTGTCCGGGCTCCCGCCTTCCGCCCACTTCCTCTGTTCCTCTTTACCTTTCCTTCCTCGTCTCCCTCCTCCCCTCCTTCCTCCTCCAACCCCTTTCCTCTTCTTGCAGCCGTTCTTGGTGCACAAACTTGGATGAGTCCCTGGCCCTGAGCTGGGGATTGGGGAAGGGGAGTGTGACCCAGCCGGCGCGAGCTTTGTCTCTCTAGCTCCCTCCTTGTCGCTCCCTCTGCCACCCCGCACAGCTCCCTGCCCCCTCAGTCTCCCTGCTCTCTGCCCCCCACAAACCGCCGGGTCACTCGGCAGTTTGGTACCAGTGCAGAGGCGCGCTGGGCGTGTGGTGAAGGGTGACGCATCCGAGGAGGAGCGGACCCGGGGGCTAGCATCTCCACTGCGCATGAGTCACCGCTGGAGGCTCCGGCGGAGAAGCTGTGACCATTGTAAGGACCGACCAGGTCCGGAGTAGAAGGTGCGGAGCTCCCTCCCGCAACTCCATGAGGAGGGAAGGAAAGACAAGGCGACAGCAAAGAGACCTCTGTGCCCGCCACACCCCTCGCCCTGACGCCTACCTGTAGCCGCGGGACGGCGTCGCGGGGTAGCAGTGCGCCCGGCGCGGGGACGGCGAGCGCGTTCAGCACCCTGGACAGCGCCGCGGGCGGTGACAAGTGCGGCGGCGTCTGCGATCCGCCCGCCCCGGGCCGCTCCCGGCTCCGCAGCGCAGCGCGCTTGGACAGGGCACCCAGGACCCGGTGCTTGCCGCCGCTTTCCGAGTGCCGTTCCGGACCCTGCCCGCCGCCTCTGGATCTCCGGGACTCCGCGGGCGGGCCGGCTCCCCGCCGCGCTCCCCTCCCGCGCCGGGAGATGAGCCATGAGCGCGGCCCCCGCTGCCGCCGGCCCGCGGGGCGCCTGGCGAGCTGCTAGCGCCCTGGGCCCGGGAGAGGCGCTGCTGGCGGGGCTGCCGGCGCTGGCGCAGGCCGTGTCGCTGCTGTCCAACGCGCTGGTGCTGCTCTGCTGCGCCTATAGCGCTGAGCTGCGCGCGCGCCCCGGGCGTCTTCCTGGTGAACCTGTCGCTGGGCCACCTGCTGCTGGCGGCGCTCGAGATGCCGTTCACGCTACTCAGCGTGCTGCGCAGGCGGCCGCTGTCGGGGCCAGGCGCATGCCAGGTCGTTGGTTTCCTGGACACCTTCCTGGCGTCCAACGCGGTGCGGAGCGTGGCGGCACTGGGCGCGAACCAGTGGCTGGCGGTGGGTTTCCCGCTGCTCCACGCCCGGCGTCTGCGACTGCGCGACGCCCGCCTGCTGCTGGCCTACGCGTGGAGACAGTCGTTGGACTTCGCGTTTGCTGCGTTCGTCTGCTCGAGGCTCGACTACAGCGGCGCCTTGGCGTCCTACTCGCTGCGCCTGCAGTCCTCGCCGCCTTCCCCGCCGCGCTCCACGCCGCGGGCTTCTCGCTGCCGCTCGCCGCGCTCAGCCTCCCCTCCGTCGAGGTGCTGCGGGTGGCGTGCGGCCACTGCCGGCGCATAGACGCATCACCATGCAAGCGCCGGAGCAGATGGTAGACTTGCACCCCAGGTAGCCGGCCCGTGTGCCCCAACCCTGAGGGCCTCACCAGAGCTCCTGCCCCCTGCTCAGCAGTTGGCTCAAGGAGCCTGCGGGCACTGTCACCTGCTGCAGGCATTCACATGCTTGTGGGGCTTCCTGTGCACATGCCAACAGGGTTTCCATATTGGCTTCTTTGCACACTCTGTGTGTCTGCACACCGAAGGGCCAGATGCTTCTCAGCGTCTGTCTCTGCCGTGTAGAATATGTGCCCACAGCACACAGGGAGCTTTTGCAGGGGCTGTGAGGTGTGTGCCACGGCCCTGCTGTGGGGTCAGTCACACTCCCCTCCTGGGGCAGGTGGGTGTGGATCTGAACACTCCTCTCCGTTTCTGCCCCGCCGGCTGGGTGCCCTTGCCTGGCCTGGGGTCTCAGGTCTTGGGAGGGTCTGCCGGGTCCTGTCTGCTCACCACCTGGCCTGCATTTGCCCATTGCATCTTCCGCTGCTATCATCGCTCGCCTTGTCCTTCTCTCCCCTGTGTGCAGAGCTCCCCATACTCTCCTGCCCCAGGACGGCAGGCCCTGGTGGCTTCTCCCTCACTGAGGACCCAGCGTGCTCTCCTTCAGCAGGTCTGACTTAGTTCCCTCTGCACAGAGGGGAAGGAAGAGTGGGGGGGGTGGTTAGAGAGGGAAGGGGAAGAGAGTGGCCCCCTCCTCCCTGCCCTCCATGCCTCTTTTATTTCACCTTTACAGAAGAAATCCACCTCTTCCCCCTGTTCCTTCTCTCTCTTGTCCTGTCCCGCTCTATTCCTTGGGCTCTCCAGCCTGGACGTCCCCTGTGAACCTGCCCTGTCTGGCTCTCGGATCTGGGCTGTGGCTCTGCCCCCGGTCCCCGGGCGCCCTGAGGGCCATCCTCTCCTCTCTCCCTGCAGCGGGTGGCAGCCCTGCCTCCCTGAGCAGAAGCGGTGCCGCCAGCGGGCTGCCAGGAAGATCAGCCTCTTCATTGGGTCCTCCGTCATCTGCTTTGCCCCACGTGTTGTGACCCGCTGGGTCCTGGTTGTCAGGCGCCTGTCCTGGGAGCCGCTGGGGAGTGGGTTTGACCTCAGTCAGGCAGGCCTCTGATGTCTTCCGGCTGGGCACCTGGAGGGAAGTTGACACCCACAGGGCTCCTCCTCTACAGCTGAGGCACCAGGGCATCCCCTCTGCTCTTGTCCAGGGCCCTGGGACAGAGCTATCACAGCCCCACATCCCATGCCATAAATGAGGAGACTGCCCCTGTCCAGGGAGACTGAGGCCAGGGCACAGGTAGGTGTGGGGTCTGTCTGCTTCTTTCCAACCTTGGGAAGCTTTCAAGATCAGTTAGGAGACTGGGACCAACCCAGCCCTCAGACTCAGCATCCCCTGGGCATGGATTCCAGGATCCAGGGTGGAGGCCCAGGCCAGGGCCTCAGGACTGTCACAGCTGAGTGAGTGGTCTCTTTGCTCCTCTTGCCATCCCTCTCCCTGGAGACCCTGGCCTGGAGCTCGCAGGAGACTGAGGAAAACCTTGTGTAAAGGGCCCCTGGGTACCACTGTCACATACTGTGATGAGGGCAGTGTGGTCTGTGTTCCTGCCTGCAGGGTTCCTGGGATTCTCATTCCACAGCCAGGGCCCTGAGTGGTCCCTGCTCCCCCCTGTCTTGAGCTGCAGCAGAAGGACGCCCTGACAGAAGTGGCTCCCAGGAGGAGCTGATGGTCCTCAGCCTCCTGGGGCTGGGTCAACTATGTCCTGGGCCTCCCCACCAAGGGAGAGAGCAGGCAGGGGGCATGGCGCCAGGCTCCTGGGTTTGATCATCCAAAGTTCCCCTGGGGCTCCAGAATGCCCTGCGAGGTCCACTTGTCTGTTCAGGCTGCCTGTCTGCCTCCTCAGGCCATTGGTTTGTTAGGTGTTGTTGGGAGGGGGTTTCTCACAAGCCAGGGGTGGGGGGTCCTGGAGCTTCTGGGCCGAGGGGAGCGGGCTTCTCCTCCCTGTCAGCTCCCCTTACCCTGAGAGCTCTTCGGAGTCAGTGCTCAGGACACGAGTCACGTGGCTCTTGGCCACCTATCCCACTGGGCTCAGGGACACGAGTGGGTTTCTTGTGGGTCACGGGCACCGTGCTTCCTCACTCGAAACTGGCAAAGGCCTCAAGTTCTTAGGAAACTGCATGGGCGCAATTGTGGACAGAGGAAACTGTGGCGTTCTCCTGTGAACCAGACATTTATCTGATCCGGGTGTCAGGTATGTGCACACGTGTGTCTGTGTGAGCACTCGTGTGCATGTGCTTATGTGTACACACATAACTGTGTGAGTGTGCATGTGTACACATGTGAGTGTGTACACGTGACTGTGTGAGTGTGCGTACACGTGTGTGTGTGTGTGTGTGTGGTGGGTGCTGGAGTTCCCAGAGTGCTTGCATGTGGACCCAGCTTGAGCATTTTCTCCTGAGATGATAAATGCATAATGAGGGAGCCTGGCTTACTCAGCCACCATGCTATGTTGGTGGCTGGGTCTTACTTTTATTTTTATGCATGTGTGCAAGGGCCCGAGTGTGTGTGTGAGCGTGCATGTCTGTATGAGTGCACACGTGTGTGCAGGAGGAAGAACCCAGAACAGCCGCGGTGCCTACATGTGCAGCCTCATTTCCACCATGCCAACTCCAAGACCCAGGCAGCTCCCGCTGTCTTCTCTGTGACCTACCGCCCCCAGCCCCGTAGGGAAAATGTGGACAGAATAGAGCTGCTCTGGTTGTCATGAGGCTTGAGAGGTGATGTATCTTTCCCTCACTCACTCACCGCCGGCCAAGCACCTCCTGTGGGCCCAGCTCTGCGCCTGGTCCCCATGAGCACTGCAGGATGGGCTCTTGGTCCTGATGCAGGAGACGCAGATCGATGAGCGCAGGCAAGTGTCTGCAGACAGGGAGGGCATCGAGGGACTGAGTTTGGGAGCAGCATCCTGGCCCTGTGTCCACCTGCACCCCGCCCCCCAGACTGCTGAGTCCTGGAGGAGAGCTCTACGTCCTGGCCCTTCTTGTCCGCCTGCCGCACACCGCTGATTGAATAAATAAAACCCCAGGGTGACAACCAAGAAACAGAGCAGAAAAATCGCGGTGTCCCCAGCCCCTTTACCTTCTTCACCCTCACCACTGGCTCAAGGTGACTATGCCGTTTCTAACCACATTAAATTCATCTTCAAAGTGTCCACAGAAGAACCTAAGAATGATTCCAAGTTCTGAAAACAATTCCCAGGAGAAGATCCCAGCTCTAAACCATTTTCAGCAATGGCGGAATAGCGGGAATAAGTGCACAGCCCCCCAAGGGGTGAGAGACTCCGGACAGGAGTGCACACCGGTGGACGCATGAATTCTTGTGGGTTAGACTGCCAGCCACCTTAGAACCTCATCCACACTCACAGCTCTGAGGTTCTGATTCAGTTCCCACTTATGATGTGGGAGGCGCCCACAGGCAGCTCTCCGAACACAAACCCTCCTGTGCTGCTCTCAGACCTGTCCCTCGGCGCCCCTCCCTGGAGGCACGTGCCTGAGGCTCGGAGCTGGCACAGAGTCCCTCAGCTAGCAAATGTGTGGGCTCCCACTTGTACTCATCTGTGGTTCTAGAACTAGAACCTTCCGAACCTCTAGAGCACAGGTGTGTGTGCCTGAGTGTGGTCACCACTGCTGAGCTGAACTACCTGCTCAACTCCCCACGGGCTGGTGGAGCTCGTGCCCTCTGTCACCATCAATGCTCCCTGGGGCGTCCTGAGCAAGTGCCTGAGCTACAGTGAGGTGGCGGCCAACCCCTTTCTGTACTCTGTGCTCCGCCAGCAGTGTCCCCAGGTCCGGGCCGGCATAGCCAACCGGCTGCCGAGGAGACACCCACACCCAGCATCTGCCCACAGAGCTCACAGACACGGAGAATGACTTCTGCCTGCAGCGGACACACTGAGGGCTGGCCGGGCCTCCTTGGAGCCCAGCGGACCGGGCACTGGTCTTGCCACATAAATGCCCCTTGGGACCCCCAAAATGGCAGCTTGGCTTTGGGCAGAGGTTGTGGGGGCAGCAGTTGTGGGGCAGAGGAGATGGCACAGGCTGTGGGTTGTTTCTTCTCCGGGCTCGGCCACGTGGTTGCTAGGTGTGCTGAGGGCAGTGGCTTTCCCTCTCTGAGCCTCAGTTTCCCCGCCTCTTTTCTGGGAGTGTTGTGATGCTTTACGACGGTGGTGGGAAGGTACCCTGTGCAGTGCCCGGGACACAGCGGGTCTCCTGTGACAGCTGCTGTATGGTAGGGTGACCAGGCTTACTCGGGGTCTGTCGGGATGGCCCAGGTTAACGCCTGTTGCCCCAGCCTAGTGATTAATATCGCCCCCCTTCACTCTCGGCATCGTCCAGGTTTGGAAGGTAAGTTCTATGGAGAGTCTGGTTTGGGGCTCCTGGATCTCAGGTCTGACAACCTGTGGCCAGGGCTGGGCGCCCCAGAGCAGGCCGGCGCCGGCCCCCAGAGAAGTGCCCGTCTCTGAGGAACCTTGCAGTCCGCTCCTTCTGCTCCTCTGCTCGCTGCGATGCGCGTGCGCTGGGCTCACCGGCCGGCCTGCGTCCTGTCTAGTTTACCAGGAGGGACCAGAACTCTGACTGGGGAAGACGTGAAGAATGTCCGTGTGCTCAGAGCCTTTTCTGACAGAGACGTAAAAGCACATGGACCCTGTCCCTTTCTCCCAAGGCCTCCTTTGTCCTCTTGATCACCATCATCATATGGTCAAGACGGTCACAGCAGCAGGCAGAGTCCAGGTGTCCAGGGGACAGTGGTCAGGAGGGTGGGGCTCCCTCCCCAGCTGCAGCCACTCTGCTCAGCCCCGGGGGAGCCGGGGGGGGGGCTTGCCTTGAGTTGCAGCATCGTTTTCATTCTAGTGGTCGAGGGGGCCACTCCTGGGTGTGGCCACCCACTGTCATTGTCACCAAATGGACCCAGGGGACAACGTCTGGGAACTGAGTGCTCGTCTGTCCTCTTTGCAGTCCAGGAAGAGGCTGATGCTCAGCGTGTAAGCAGGCCCTCGGGAGAGGCGTGCTGTGTGAAGGAGCAAGCGAGTGAATGAATGAATGAGTGGACACACTTCTCACTTCAGTGGTTCATTTCTGCTGTCTTCCCTCTCCAGGCCCCAGGCCGTCCCCTGCAGAACCAGGGGTGGGCTGCAGGATCAGGCCCCACCACTGGCAGGACGGACTCTCCGACAGGCCTCGCCCATGGGATCCTGCAGAGCCCGCAGCACTGGCCCCACCCCAGGTCCAGGGCAGGCTGGTCCTGAGTCCTTTCCTTCCGGACACACACAGCAGTCCACTCCTCTTGGCCATCCAGGCTTTAGTGACAGTTAGCCTGGTGGAGCCAGCGTGACAAATTCTTTTCCAAATAACTGAGTGTGGTTTGGCTGCTTTTGGCTGATTCTCTAACATCTCCCCGCAGCGGGATATATGTAAGTGCTTGTAAATTATAAGGTGCAATTCAAAGAAAACAAATTATTTTTAGGAATAATAACTGTAGATATATGGTCAGGAAGCAGTTAAAAAGAACCCCCCTGGGCAGTTCAGTGAAGGCCCTCAGTCCAGCCCTGGGCTGTGGGTGCAGGCGTGAGGGGGGTTTATGGGCGTCATCCCCCTGGTTCACAGGACGCATGTGGACCCAGAGGCCCGGCGGCCCCCTGGGTACTCCAGTGCTTGCAGAGGAGAGCTGGGTCTCTAACTGCAGAGCCTGGCTGGGACCCTGCAGGCTGCACCCTCCCTCCTTCCTGGGAGCCGCTGGGGCTGGGGGCGGCACACCAGCCAGCAGGGCTGGGCCTCAGGTTACCACAGCCTTGCCGTGTTAAAGGACGGTCTTACAGCCTTAAATCCATCCGAGGAAATACGCGTACCCTGTCCTGTGGAAAATGCCACGGTTGGAAAGAGACAACACTTGGTAGCGGTGGTGACAGTTCCTCTCCTATTTTGCCTTCCCCGAAGCCCCCACAGAATTTTCTAGAAGACCAGTGAGACATAGGCGCCTCCCAGGGGAGTGCCATTAGTTGCAGCCATGCCGGGCATTCTAGAACATTCTCTCCATCAGCTGATGTGGCTTACTCACTGTGCTGTTTTTCGTCTTGGGCTTGTGGTCTTTTTTTAATTTGAAAGATACTTTTCATGTGCACTTAAACGTATTGCAAAACGGTGTCATGTCCCAAGAACTTTGTGAACCAAGAAACATTTTACTCAAAGAGTCTCTCGTTTCTCTGCAAAAGGGAAAAATTCAGCCTTTGTATTAGCCGGAAGCTAACTGTCTGATTACCAGGAAAGCGGATCCCCTGCTGGGCTTCCTAGATGACCGGGATTAGACCCTGCACCACGTGTGCCGTGGGCGGGGGGCGGCGCTCAGTTCTCCCGCAAACCTCGTGCTTTCCCAGGGCATGAGCCAGGGGCACCCAGCACCGTGTGTGCTCTTTCGGGAAGGATCCTTAGCTCCCATCTGATTCTCAGAGGGCCCGGAGACCCCACAGGGCAGGAACCACTCGCCGCTGCACAGGGCGTGGCTGCTGGCTTTCTCACTGGCAATTCCAGGCAAGGGCTGTGTGTGCTGAGAATGTCTCTCCAGGGCCCAGCAGGGGCGGCACCGAGCCTGTGGTTGGGGAGCCCTCATGGATGAATTAACTACGGTAAGTTCAATGAGTTCAGCGCTGATCCAGAGGAAGCATGGAGGGGGTCTCCTGATGGTGGGGGCTTGAGGGTGGCTCCCAGAGGCCTTGATGCTTCAGCCAGGCACCGAAGGAGGGGTGCCCAGGAAGTCATCTCCCGGCTGGGGAGTGGACTCCCAACCACCCCACCCCATCATCTCGAACCCCTTGCTGAGGTTAGTCAGTGGCTGAGGGTCCACTGCCTGGAGAAGTGACCCATATGGTATGGCAGAGTCTGTCCTCTTCCCACGACTAGCAGCTTGTCCACAAGCAGCCACCTGGGCTCATGCGCCCGGCCCTGGGCATCCGAGTTCTTGCAGCTTCCGCCTCCAGGTGCATCTGCTGGGTCATCTGGCCCCGTCCTGACAGCGTAGGTCTGGCTGCGTGCTGCCCATCCCCCCTTGACCCATTATCTGGCAGGCTGGCTGGACGGGGCCAGGACTGGGGAGATGGGGGGACTTTCACATCTCCTGGTCCCTGGGAAAGGCTAACCCAGCCCGAGACCTGCCCTGACAAACCACTTGGTGGGTCAGGCTCTCCCGGCTGACGAGCAGTGGGGGAGAGGTTGTCCTTTCCAACTTCGCTGGGGAGGAAAGACGCCGGTCCCAGAGGGGATTAGCACATTCTTCTCACTGGGTCTTTAAAAATAACAGTAGCTAGCATTGACCTTTAAAAAATTTTTTCTTTAATTGAGGAAACATTGGTTTATAACATTATATAAATTTCAGATACACAACATATTTTGGCTTCTGAATAGACTACAGCATGTTCAGCCCCAAAAGTCTAATTACCATCCGTCATTGTGCACTTGTACCCCTTTACCCCTTTTACCCTCCCCCCACCCCCTTCTGCTCTGGTAACCACCAATCTATTCTCCATATCCATGTGTTTGTTTGTTTATCTTCCACATATGAGTGAAATCATACAGTATTTGGCTTTCTCCGTCTGACTTATTTCACTTAGCATAATGCCCTCAAGTTCCATCCATATTGTCACAAATGGCAAGATTTCATCCTTTTTTATGGCTGAGTAGTATTCCATTGTGTATGTCTACCACATCTTCTTTATCCATTCATCTGTCCATGGACACTTAGGTTGTTTCTAAGTCTTGGCTGTTGTGCATAATGCTGCAATGAACATGGAGGTGCATATACCTTTTGAATTAGTAACACTGACCCTTTTGTATCAAATCTAAAATGCCACTGGTTTAAAGCTGTGTCATCATTTTACATACAACTCAGAAAGAAAAACAAAGCTGATAAGAGGGCTGTAATAGGAGACGCCTGTGTAAAGTTGGACACCTGAGGGCTGCAGGCTCAGAGTCCATGGGAACCAAACCTGCCCGCAGGAGGGGACAGCAAGGAGACTCTCCTGTCTCCATCCCAGCACCCAAGGAGGAACGTGCACCCCTAGCTGGTCCTCAGACAGCGTGGGGTCTGCATTTGCTCTCCCAGTGTGGGCCAGAAACCTCAGATGGGAAGTCAGAGGAAAGTGCTCCAGGAGACTGGCCAGAGTAAGCCCAGGGGCTTCTGGAAGGACGAGGCTGCAGCCCAGGTGGACAGTGGGCAGCGTGGAGCATCAGATGCCCTGGCCCCTGGAGGTGCTAAAATGGGCATTGGAGTTGATGAGGTGGAGGGAGCGGCTCCTTCTCTGAGCCAGAGGTGGACGGAAGCCCTTTCCCTCTGTCTACGCCACAGTAGATACTGTCACTGTCACCCCAGCCTCAGGGTTAAGCGGCTTGTCCAAAGTCTTAGGACTGAGTGGCATCTGGCTCCCTGCCACCCAGGACAGTTGGTAAGGAAGCCCATAAGGGCACACGGCTCCTAAAGACCGTCTGGGCCAATGGCCCGGCAGGGGAGGGACCCAGCCCAGGCAACACTGCTGGGCTGTGGACCCCGGTGTCTGGCCCGCACTGTCCCCAGGGCTCAGGGCAGGAGCACAGTGATGTGCACACTGGCTGGACTGCAGCTGGGAGCTTTGAGGAGTGGTTGGCAGGCAGATGTGTGCACATCTGGACAGCAGAGTCTGCACATGTCCAGCTCCATAGAGGGTGCTTCAAAGGCATTAGCTGAACCCCAAAGCAGTCCTGACCCTGGGAGGACAGAGGGGCTCTGGGCAGACAGCGAACTGGGGGCTCCAGGGCCCACTTTTCCCTTCCCTTGCAGCTGAGGGTCCTGGGCCTTCCTCTGTCCAAGTCTCTTGGCTGGATGGCTCCAGGTGAGGCAGGCACGG